GACGGATTAAGACTGAATCAGATTTAATCAGTCAATTTTTATTACTCACACTGGATACATCTTCCATCGTAACAATAGGCCGAAGAACACTGGATACTGTCAGAGCACTGAAATCACACATTTTTTAATTGTAAAGTTGATTCCATCCACGTATTGTTACACTCTCTTGAATTATCCGGTTGTTAATGATAATTGACTCACCGAGGCTCCAAGGCCCCTATCGCCTTGTCCATTGACAGCCACCGACAACATCACAATCATGACAGAAATAGCCAAGATCTTCATAATAAAGAATAATGCTCTCCTCCTTTCTCAAAACTATGAACGCAAAGTCAATATCTTGCGATATGAGTGAAGGTTGAGAATGGGGACATCTTATATACCAGGAAAAAGTGACTCACATATTTCTGAAATGTATTCAGCATTACGATTTTTTAACGGTAATGTTTTTATGTATTAATTACATAAGATAAGACCATTTCTCCTTCTTTTCTATTATTATGATTATCATTCGTAATCGAAGACATGGGCATGAGACGTTTGATAAGACGAGAATAATTTATAGAGCTCAACAATAGTATTTGTCTTTGCTGCTGGTTTCATTCTACAATTATCACGTAATCTGGAGCTTATGAATTCGATTAATTCAATAATTTCGCATTGGATGATGCCGGCAGTTACATGTGACCGTCAATGACGCCTCATGACGCTTCGGCAGTTACATGTGACGTCATTGACGGTCACATGGCGAGGTCCCAATGACCGCCGGTCCGGTCACAAAAAATTTTTCCATGACGGTCACAATTGGCCGAAAACTATGACGGTCATTTTGCACCTATATAGATGGTTTGGTAACGGAAATTACTATTTTACTCTTTTGACGGTCAAAAATTCTTTGTGACGGTCGCAAAAATCTGACCGTCATTTGCCATTAGAAAGTTCGGGACGTCACATGACTGTCACAAGACCGTCATTTTTTGGTCATATGACACAATCACAAAAATGACCGTCATTTCGCATCTCTAGATATGGAGAATGCGCGGTCTAGGTATTATATGTCTATGGTGTTAACCCTTAGGTGGGCGCATTGTAAGGGAATACCCGCTAAACCAGAGGCAACGTGTAGGGCGTCACTGTAGAACGAGTGAGATGCTAGAAAAGCGTGACTAGGCGGTAGGTACGAACCCCCACCCGACCCGTTGTACCTCCCCGATATCATGTTAAATTCGTATCGGAACAAGACTCATTGAAATCATGCTCAATCGAAGGAGCAGATAATTTCCATTGATAGTTATTGAAACTCCAATCATGTTTTTCAACTTTTTTAAAACACAAAATTTTGACAACTCAAAATTCGGAAGAATTGAATTTTCTCACATCATAAATTTAAGAAAAATATGAAATTTTTTTTTAGATTTTTCGAATATAGAGAAAATCATTCAGGGGACCTCAATAAAATTAAAATTTCGAAGATACAAAGTCATATCAATAATAGTCAAATCACCGTATTAATGATCGTGAGCCTCTTCATGTGGAAGAAAAACTTTTCTAATTAATTATACATGACCATAGTATGAGAGATAAGGGAAAATTTCGATCTTCGGGACAACAATTATTTATAGCATCTCACGTTCGCCTTCTTGATCCTTACCAAATAAGCTCTTCTCAAAAATATTGCGGTGAATCAGACCAATCCGAGCAATAACACTTGTTATCTCGAGAGTCAAATTTTGTTGTCGAGAAAATGAACGAAGGCGTCGTTTTTTTCCTCAATAAACACATTGTCAAGTGCGTAAATATGCATATAACAACAACTTGAACATTTATTTCACACTCACGAGTCAACAATCTTGTTTTGTATATAAAACGAGGGCTCCCGGTACGGTTGTGTCATAAAATATACTTCAGTAATAATTGCGGCAATAGAGAAATCAGTCTCGCAAAATGAAATATTTCGTTATTATGTTATTGCTAGTGGTGTTGGCTGCTGCACAACCCGAGCAAGAGCAACGTTGCAGACGTCTTCGGGCTCGGGTAAATATCTTCATGAATTCTGGAATGGTTTTTGGATGGTTTTTTTATGAATATGTATTATTTTTTGCTTTAGTGTACCGACAGCAAGCAATGCTGTTCGGGTTACTGCCGTGATCAGCGTTGTATCAGATGTAAGTAATAGATATAATTCATTATCTCTATTATGTGAATAGGAAGCACCTTCTAGCATTATAATTATTTTTCTTTACTATTATTTGCCAGTCTTCATTCCAGTTGTCACACTTGAAATTTTTAATCAAAATTTTTAACGCTCTGTGTTCACTCCGCTTCACTTACTTAATTTTCAATCTAAATCTAATGAATTATAATTGCTCGGCTTCTTTGAATTTCACTAGATTTCAATTTTGATATTTTCTGATGAAATGATATTGTAATTCCTGAGGGGCTATTCACAGGCAAATGAGGTGACACCGCGATTACAAAATGTAATCGATTACCCAAGATTATGGGACCAATCACACTGATTACCATTACCATGTCATAACCGTGACTACCAAGAGCACAGAATGTGATTATATGATTACAAATGATTTCGTCGATTACATTCTGTAATTAGCAAACATCTGTAATTATTGAAATCACAAAGAATGGCCTCGTATTAAATATGAATTGATGGAATAATTAATTATTAGAACCTGCAAAGAAATGTTGAAGGAGGGGCGGGGATTAGAACAGAGGAATGCAGTCTCCATCACTCCATCTAAAAATTTGGGCATTTATAAGTGCTATCAGCAAAATAAATTTACTGAATATCTACCATTGATGGAGAATGAAACTTACCAGCAGATAATTCAGAGATAATTCAGTCGTTGGTTCTCCAGAATAAGAAGAAATCTCAACTCTGTTGAATTAATTTTTTACGGACAAATACTCTGTGCAAAACGCATTGGCTATGCAAGATTCTGAACCATAAACGTTTGGGATTCCAAGAAAAATTGATCTAGGGATCTCTGAAAACACGCGCTCGAAAAGTCAAAAACAAAATTCACGGTCTGACTAGGAGCAACTAGGAAAGATTACACTGATTACAAATGATTACATCAGTGAATGACATTACGTCTGTGAATAGCCCCTCGGTAATTTCTATCAGTTGTTTCCATGCTTAACCGCAGGAATTCTCATGTATCATTTGCTAACATAGCTTCACTTTTCCCCCTAGCTAATCGAGAACATTGTAATCTCCTCACTAAAGCTAGTAAACAATAAATTGAATAAATGAAAATGATTCATCATCATCTCATTGCCACGAAGACGAAAATGATCGAATTTTGCTACCTCCAGGGGGAACTATTGAAGATGAAAGAAATCTGCCTCATCCTTGTTCCTACACCTCCTGTTCGGTGGGTGCAGCTTGTGTAATCGACCAAGTCCAGTGCGTTCGGGCACCGTGTCCAGGAATAGTGGCATGTCGTTGAGCTGGAGAGCATCAATTTTGGGAACAACTCATGGGCAGTTCATATTAATCCGTTGGTTACAGTTATCATGATGAGTATCATGAGCATAGAGTTATAAACCATATACTATTCTCAAGTACGAGGTATTCAATTTGTTGGTGATGGTTCATCTGTATTTATAAATGATACAAGATCTTAATGTCATTTTTCCTCAATAAATGCAATTCGTGGAAATGCACCTTTTATTATTCCTATATTTATTCTCAGTATTCTCTCTCCTATTGATATAAAAAGCGAGACAGATTAATGCTTCATGAGATCATTTCTTCTTTTTCCTTTTGTTTTTGTTCTCAAAGACGGTATTTTATGCGTCAGTATTTGTTGTTCATGTGAAGCATATCAAGGCAATCAATGTGAAGGAGAGACAAACACATCACCTGGGTTTATTTTTTTTATCAGTTCATTACACTGAACTGATGGTCAGCATGTTCAATGAGGGAAACTGATAAATATGAACATGTTTACATTAATCACATTGTGGAGTTGAGAAATATTCATCCAAGCTATTCATCCAGGCAGTTCTCGGATTCATAATTATACAGATGACAATATCGATAGGGACCAATATTTTTCATTTTATTTAATGCCATATATACCCTATTCGGGTTTTTACATGTTTTGCGGTTTCATGGGCCGATTTCCTCTCCAACCCGGAGGAGCGATTTAACCGCTTCGGCCACCGTCGCCGGTCATACGGATCAATAATTAAGAGTGAACACAAAAAATACCAAAAGAAGGCTGCCATAATTGTACGCAGGCTGCGAGCTATGTCAAGGCATGTCATCTTGGGACAGTGCTGGAGTGGTAACTGTCAATGACGATGTGATTCGTCATTTGAACATAGTAGAGCTCATCAATGAGGCAATGCAATCACGCAAGAAAAACTTTTCGAAAGGATTAAAGACGCTCGCCGTTCTTCGGGAATTCATTGGTAACGAAGAGTTGTTGCAGTCAAGTGAGAATCTAAATTTTTGCATACCTCAAAGACAGACTTGTACTAACACAGTAAATATAGCAGAAGAAGATAGCTCTTACGATAGTGTACATATACGCAAAACGGAAGTGAACCATTCAGAATCCGATGGATGGAACTGCAAAAATGGAAGGTTTACAGTAAGATTTACTATGATCCAAACCATTCTGCAAGGTTTACTGGTGAGCCAGGATGCATGTGACAAAAATGATTCTAGCAAAAATAACAATTCCATGAATTTGAAAACTCATATATTTCTTCAGCCATTCAGTTACAATTTGAGATTAAAGATGAAGAATGGGTGTGGCAGAGAGATGTCTCTTCGGAATGGTGTTTCATACAATTCATTAGTGAAGTGGTAAACGGAGATAAATCGACTTATCTCCCAGTTGAGTTTTTGAGGAATATTTCCGAATCCAAGGGAGAAGGCGAAATTTTCGTAATCACATTTATTATAGCACTCAATCGGCTCTACAAAAAAGGATATAAAAAAAATTTTGCTACCTTAGATTCCGAGATATTGATTGAAAACTGCTCAATAGTCAAAATTGACGTATTTCCTTTTACCCCTTCGCTACTGAATTATTTAATCTTCCAATTATTTCCACCATACGATAACCCTCTAATGCATTTCACATAGAATTCTACGATTCATTTCCAAGTATTTTCTCATTCTCAAGCGTTACTTCATGAAGTTACTACATAAAGTTAAGTTGAAGTGTATTACGACGCACGGATAGTACACCGCGCGACTCCAGGGCACTCTGGTCTGTTGGGGCATCGAACCTGCTGAACTACGCACGGTCCACGTGCGCATCTCACGATGGAGCAGGGGTTAGTACGGCCTCGTTCGGATGGAATTGTTCCCCCTACGACCGAAAACTTCGACTTAAAAAACCTTTTCTTTTTCTCAATCATGAGATGAAGGTGCTTCTTACTTACAACGGAGACAACGATTGTTACGGCAATAGGATGTACAGCATTGTTCACTCCTTGTGCACTGAAATCACAAGCAGCAATTAATCCCTTTGAAGTTATTAAATTTGTAGGGGAATTCCGCTCCCTCCCTTCCTCCATTCTTCTATCTCTGCTTCTTGGAATAGTTCGTGTTCTTTCGAATTCAAGGTATTTATGGCGGGACGGGCATGTAAGAGGTGAGACAGAGGGGAATTTATTGTTCTCTCATAGAAGACCAATTGCTGAACAACAATAACGATATTTGAATTACAAATTTTCAATCCAGTTCGACCATTTTTGTGTTCGAAATATTTATTTAATACCTTTTATGTTTTTTTCACGTATTTCAAGGCTTCTTTCATTTTCCTAGCTTGTCTTTTGGATAATTGGAAAATAATTAATATGGATAGAAAAAGTGACAACGTCGTGCCATTTGAGGTTTGAGTTGGTAGCACTGATTCACTAAGCTGTTATGTTCCTTCCCATAGCAAAATGTATCATCACAACTCCATTTGTATTTGCTGCGCTTACCCGTCCACGATTCCTAACCTTGGCGTTGTCGCTATTCCAAGTTGCGCACGCAGAATTCCTATTTTTCATGAGTTTTTTAATTATCCCTTCTAAACAATTCTCCTATGGCACTTGGATTATTTTTTGTTATGTTCCTCCATTAAAGGTCCACCCAAGTGCGAAATTTCAGAAAAATGGCAACTTTTTTTCTATTTTTAATATTTTTTTTCCGAAGTGCCATAAGAGCCCCCTGTTAAAATACATTTCTTAGAGAAATTCCTCTGTTTCACCCATTCTCTTAGGCTGAGATTTGGCATAGGGGTTTTGAAAAAATCAAAGACTATATTTAAAAAATCAATTTTTTGACTTTTTTTCGACCCCCCCCCCCTCCTGTCCGCGCCGTAAATACCTTTAAAAGCTCCCGAGGACTGAGCCAGGAAAAAGGGGAATCCCACGCGTTGCAGCCAAGGTTACTAGATATCCAGATAAGGAGGATAGATATGTCGCTGGGCTTATTTCTGGCTCCCTGATTGGTCAGTTACTGTCGCTGGGCTCAAATCAGAATCGCCGATTGGTTAGATTCACATGTACTGTCCAGCCTGGGTAGTAACCTTGGGTAAAGGTGGTCAATGTATTGACTATCGCCTCGTCCAGATGGCGAAATTGCAAATGCCATTTCTGAACAAAGATCTGCGGTGCAAGATGAAACAAGAGGGACATGTCTTCATAACTATTTTTGCTAATAAATTAGCAATATGCCTCCCGATTGTCATTTTGCACATCAATTTCTTCTATCGTATATCATTTATTGTTTTATTTATTTTTAAAATTGAATTATATTTCCTGATGGCACCTATATTATCTTGCAACTACCATAGGATGATATTCAGTAGTATATTTCAATACTATTGAGTAATAGTATATTTTAATACGAGTGCGTAAGTGTTTTTTGTTTTTGTTTTCGAAACGATTTAGTGTGTGTAAAGCGGTTATTTTCCGCACGGCGTGCGTAAATTTCAAGAGCGTGCGTAAAGTGGATGCTTACGCACTCGTGTACAAAACAACCCCCACTACCGTTACTAATTGTGAACTCGGCAGGTATCACAAGAAAAAGGATGTGTTACGCGTGCGTGCAAAAAAGTGGAACTCTACGCTCTAATAACACAATATACTATTTTCACACCCCTGCACAGAAAGTTCATACTTTCCTCCTGCTCATCAAAGAGCAAAATACGAACTTTCCTTTGGAGGGGTGTTAAAAAATCGCATGTGCACCTTGGGCGGAAAGTCAAGACTTTCCGCCCTTGATGCACAATATACTATTCTGTTTTGCACCAATCTGAATGTAGATTTGATTAAATTGTCCCGACATAATCCACTTTAACTCCGTAAGAGATATATTTACCCATCTTCCGACATCTCTACACTGCTGCGCAGTTGTAGACACTGCTAGCAGTATTGCGAATAGAAAAACAGCAAAGAACTTCATTATTAAAGGCTCTTGTTTTTTTACCACTTTCCGTTTCTCAACGTGAATAACTTTCCAATGCGAGTACGGTCTGCGCGATATACGTTATATATGAACGCAGCGTTGTTCTTTGCAGGTTCCATAAATATTGAGTTTTTTTCCTGACGGATAATTTATGTGCGCTACAGATAACATTATTGTTTCAAGCAATGATTGAAGTATCATTTATTCATTCATTTGAAATATTTTCACTCTTATTCTTCAAACTCGAACATTTATCTTTGATATGACGTTCAATTCGAGGAAATTTAATATCTCAATGACAAACTTGTATAGATAACCTTTATTTACGTTATGAAAACATTTTACAACGACTTTTGTTCTTCCGTAAGTACTGGCATTGAGCTTGTCCGGGACAAGGTCCAGCCCCGCAGAAAACTTGAATAATGACACAAATTGAATGCGACCCACACCTTACACCAATGCAGGGGTGTGAGCCATTCTCCTCTGGAATTAATCCCCCTGAAAGAGTAATTTGATGTGGACTTGATTCAAATTTCGGATTCCGATTAAGGAAATAATTTTCCTTTACGTACATTTGGTACATCGTCCATCACGGAGGTAGGCTGGGCTGCCATCGATACTTTCACACTGCCCAGACGTGAGGCACTAGAATTGTAAGAAAATGCGGTAAGTTGAAGTGGTATCATTCGAAAAACCTGTTGAATAATTTCATTACTTGAAGAAAACAAATTCGTTATAATATTCCCCCCAATTTTTGGATAAAGGAAGATAAGTAGTGATGCCGTGAGAGACTTTACGAGACAATATTTTGGAGAAATGATCTCGGTTTCAATGAACATGAAAATCTTTGTTCTCTCCTCCTCTCGTAATGACTCCGAGTCAATTTATGTCATCTCGGTCTCGAGTGACGGACACGTTTTTCGTGTTTTTTAATCTCGGTTTGTTTCGTCCCAGTTTCCTCCATATAAAAACGCGAAAAGATGAAAACCGAGAGGAGATAAATCGACTCAGAGTCATCACGAGACCCGTCGATACTACGTATTTCGAGACTGAGACGCCCAGGTAGGAATTGATGATAGAAACAGGACTCATCAAGCCCTGGAGCAAGGCTTGGAAATGCTCAACCAGGGCTGAAGCTCAGCCTTGAATCAGCCCTCCTTCAGCCCCAAAATGATAACCTCGTTTCAGACTTAGTCCATAAGGCTTGAACAATGCTTGGAGCCAAGGCTTGGTCCAAGCCTTGAATTACAAAATTTTAGACGCTCAATCGCACTTCTTTTAAATAAATAATATTAATGTTTGCGGATATGTGTTCAAATAATTTCTTATTGCTTCATAACCCCTTTTATGAATCCAGAGCAACTTATGAAAAAGACTGACGGGACTATGTACAGTACCTCGTGTAAAAAAATTTGTTCATTTCTGCATTTCTGGGGAAAGTGAGGGTCTCAGTGGCATTAGGCGGACCAGAAAATACAGAATCAACGTTCACTTGGCGGAAAAATTCGATTTTGCCGACAGTCGACTTTCCCCTGAAAAATCCAAGATGACACTTTGGCCCCAATGGCAATTAATGAGTTATTAATCATTGACAAATTGTTAATAATAATGAGGTTAATAAATAATCACGTGAGTTTTTGATGGGTTGCAACCTACTTGTAACTTGTGAGGTAACTGCGTGACGTTTTCATGAGTTTCTTGTAGATCGAAACCTATGTGGAATCGATGATCATGTCGGTTGCACCGCATCTGTACATGGAGAGAAATATTCAATAAAAATTACCAAAGAAAAGACGCAAAAATTACGTTTCGAAACGTAATCTGGGAGCGAAGTAAAATTCAATAAAAAGTATCAATCGTCACGTAAATTCTACGATCTGTTCCGTAAAAATTACTCATCAGTCCGACGCCTCACGATTAGCCATGAGTCACCGTGAGGGGGAGATTTTAACAACATGTTCCGTAATATTTCCGGAACTTTTCGTAAAAATTCTTAAACATCCAGGAATTCTCATGTTCTGAGGCATAATAAGTCTTGAAGTCNCTCAATCGCACTTCTTTTAAATAAATAATATTAATGTTTGCGGATATGTGTTCAAATAATTTCTTATTGCTTCATAACCCCTTTTATGAATCCAGAGCAACTTATGAAAAAGACTGACGGGACTATGTACAGTACCTCGTGTAAAAAAATTTGTTCATTTCTGCATTTCTGGGGAAAGTGAGGGTCTCAGTGGCATTAGGCGGACCAGAAAATACAGAATCAACGTTCACTTGGCGGAAAAATTCGATTTTGCCGACAGTCGACTTTCCCCTGAAAAATCCAAGATGACACTTTGGCCCCAATGGCAATTAATGAGTTATTAATCATTGACAAATTGTTAATAATAATGAGGTTAATAAATAATCACGTGAGTTTTTGATGGGTTGCAACCTACTTGTAACTTGTGAGGTAACTGCGTGACGTTTTCATGAGTTTCTTGTAGATCGAAACCTATGTGGAATCGATGATCATGTCGGTTGCACCGCATCTGTACATGGAGAGAAATATTCAATAAAAATTACCAAAGAAAAGACGCAAAAATTACGTTTCGAAACGTAATCTGGGAGCGAAGTAAAATTCAATAAAAAGTATCAATCGTCACGTAAATTCTACGATCTGTTCCGTAAAAATTACTCATCAGTCCGACGCCTCACGATTAGCCATGAGTCACCGTGAGGGGGAGATTTTAACAACATGTTCCGTAATATTTCCGGAACTTTTCGTAAAAATTCTTAAACATCCAGGAATTCTCATGTTCTGAGGCATAATAAGTCTTGAAGTCTCTGTTAGATTTTACAACTTCCAGAAAAATTACGTGACTTTTTCATATTTTTTCGGTGACAGACCCGAAAATTTACTGAACGTTTCAGATTTATTCTCTTATATTCCTATAGAAATTCACTGAAAACGATTCTCGCTTGCAGATTACGTGAAATGTTCCGTAATTTTTCTTGAATATTTCTCTCCGTGTAACCGATGATAAACCGACAAAATTTCTCCTCGGGTTAGTCTCTGATATAGTATTCGAAAAATGGGAATTTCTCAATTCTCATTCGTAGTATAATAAAAAGTATTTGCATATTATCAGTGGTGAAGTAAAAAATACAAATTTGCAGTGAAAATATTGGTGAAAATAATATTTGTGCCGATCACTGGAACGGAGAGATGCAACATCTGGCGATTTTTAAATAAGACCCTGAGTTGAATAATGGTTTTTGAACTTTTTCAGTCATAAAAAAACGGCAATTAAATGGAGGAAAAAATAACGATTCCGAATCTCATCGAGTTTTCGAGTATTTGTTTGTAATTTTTGGAAATCTTTCAATTGAAAAAAAAATCCTGTGAATAGAGTTACTTCAAACCTACGCCAATAAGTTGAAGTATTTATGGCGAATTGGGCATGTAGGAGGTGAGACGGAGGGGAATCTATTGGTCTGGAGCAAAAAACCAATCGCTAATTAAAAAAACGATATTTCAATTATAAATTTTCAATCTATTTCGACCATTTTTGTGTTCGAAATATTTTTGTATTAACTTTTCTATTTTTTCCCACATATTTCAAGCCTTCTTTTGTTTTTCTAGCTTGTCTTTGGTAATAATAATTATTACTTTCCATTAATTATTCATAATATTTAATAATAATTAGAAAACTGCATTTTTTAGAAAAATTCCTCTGTTTCACCCATTTTCCTAGGCTATTTGGAATTTCGCTTAGAAGTTTTGAAAAAACAAAGAATGTATAAAAAAAATCATCAATTTCTTGACTTTTTTTCGATCTCCCCTGACGACGCTGCAAATACCTTAATTATCCCAAAAATTAAAGAAGTTTGTGAAACTCACCGGGTAAGCCATTACGTTTCCAGGAGTTACGAGTAATGAAATCCAGAACATAGCGCATACCTTCATGATAAAAAAAAAAAGAATTATGTCGTTGGACAAGCAACTAACGTCTCGAAATTTCAATGCCACTGGAGAATAAATACCACAAACGTGGCTTTTACGGAACACTCATTAATGGTATGTGAGGGTATCGCACAGGTGGCTTTTCTTTTAATGCTACCATTGACGTTATCTCAATGCGATATTAGATTCGATATTTTTTTGTATTAATGCTCTGAAAAGTTGGTGTCATTAACCCTCGAGCGCTGCGCCGTTCCGTGTATTTTACCATTTTGAGAAAACAAAAGTTCAAAAGAATGATGTATTTATGATTAAATGAGTAATTTTGAACTTCCAACGAACAACTAATATCAGGACCGACGTCGGTGGCCGAGTGGATTAGACGCAAGTCTAGTATGCGAAAGATTGTGAGTTCGATTCCCCGTGGAACCGAATTTTTCAACGGAAGGCTCCGGCGAGTGGCAGGTTGCTAATACAGGAACCAACCTGTACCGGCATGGTTTTCTGTGGTTTCCCCATGCAACTTCTATGTTCTATAGGAGTGCGAATGCGGTACAGTGTAGAATCCACCGCCGCATGCATAGGGTTGGATAGAGTGCCGAATGGGACCCGAAAAGGGGCTCCGAGGCCGTAAAAAAATTGAAAAAATAAAAAAAAACAGCTAATATCAGTAGAAAACGAGAAAAGTGAAAACATCATTCAAAAATTCATTTCCATTCGGTGCGAAAATTTGACATTTAGAGGTTAAACACGAAGGTATTAACCGAGTCGAATTTTTAAGGAATTTTAATTTTTGATCGGTGCAAAGATGCACAGAACAAAAATTGTTTAAATGTTTGATATGGTGGAAAGTAGGAATTCCAATTTTTTCAGATTTTTTTTCGACAACGTTTCAGCGTAAAAAATAAAAATCGAGACAGAACGGCGCTCGTGCCATGACGCGACCGATCGAGGGTTAAACCAATTCTTTTACTTCTACCTTAGTTACTTAAGGTGTTTCGGTTGAAAAGTCAAAATAATGAAAAAAAAAATGGAAAATTCATGGGAGAAGTTTCTAAATATGCTGCATCATTGAGAATTATTTCACATTTTCTTCAGATCTCAGTTTCAAGAAAAAAGAAAATACAATGTGGGTATTTTTGTAAGTTCTCCAGCTATAACCTCCGAGGTTACCCCACTCTCAATTAGGGAAAATTTCTACGGCACCCAAAAAAATAATGAACTATTGAGGAAAAACTAGTGGGTGATAAATCACATCTTTCTTGAGAACACGTATAAGTTTCCGATTTTTTTCAGATTTCATAAGAGTTATTTGAACAAATCATTCGTAAAGTTATGAGTTTCGGGGCAATTACGCCCTTATGCGCAGACGCATGATTCGAATGTCAGTGAGCATCATGGGAAATGTATGGGTTGGACCATGGAACTTTGAGAGAGAAAACACTCAACAGGTTTACCAACTCGAGACGCATTTCAATATTATTTCAATAATTAAAGTGACATTCAATACAAATTTTATGCCATAGGTGCCCAGAATCACGCGATTCTAACCTCGCTTCGCTCGGTAGAATCGTGGATTCTGGGCCCTATGACATGAAATAGTATACGAAACTCGTGCGTAATATACTATTTTGACACTTGTAGGTGATGAGGAAAAAATCAATCAATCAATCTGATGAATAAAATCAATATTCACAAAATGTTCAAATACACACTTAAATAGCTACTTGAAAATTGAAAAATTTCGTGCTCAGCGATTGACTCAGGGCTCAAGAACAGTAAGACTCCCCTTCTGTTTCATCCTCCGGTAATCTACACCCGAAATACCTCAAGTTTCCATTACTGAATTTTTTCCTCACAATTCTGTTGACTTTTCAAGGCAAAGTTCTGTCCATGAAATTCTCGAGTTACAGACGTTTCATTATCCAAGCTGTTTCACTGTTTGAAATTAATAATAGTCAAGTATTTGACCAAATGTTGGTATCTTGGCAAGTCAATACACGTAAGTTAGAAATTATTCCGTTGTCCGTACAGCTGGAGACTTTATTCAACGCTTTCGGGGGAGTGACCATTTCCCTCACTATGGGTCCTCTTTTTTTTATACAAACTTTATTTTAATTCAACCAAGGATACATATCGAACTTATTTTTTGGCACTTATAACTAATAAGCTTTTACAAAAACGCTCGAAATTACACTGAGAAAAAACCAGCACATTGAGAAAAAAAATTACTTTTGCCAAGTATATTTACTAAATACAAAAAAATTTACATATGTCTTATGCAGATATTTATGTATATTCACTTATGGCTAGTAAATAACTTGGCAAAAACATTTTTTTCCTCAGTGCAGTGTTCTCAAACAATTCTTACTTGTGCAAAAAAAATCTTTTGTTGATTATTTTTCTCACTCGGATTTCTAAAAAATTTCCGACGGAATTTCACTAGTAGCTTTTCAAATGTTTCTCATTTTTCAACGCATTTCACGTGTAATATTCTGTGTGACAGATAAACAAAAATGTGGGTTGTAAATGTATGGCTGTGTGTATCCGGATGCTGTTCACTGCACTGTTCTAGCTTGGCCGAAATCCGAGTGGAAAGATAATTCGTTAAATATCACTCGTGCTTCGCATTCGGGATTTTACACCTGCAAAATTTGACACAATCGTTACCAGGCAACGAAGCTATCGGAAAATGTCCGATGACTTTGAAGCACTAGTAGTATTACTACTGAAAATTTTCAAATTTTTTTGTGCCAAACACGCGAAGCGTGCGCCGAGATTGAAAATTTTTATTGCAAAAATATATTTAGCCTTATCGACAGCAGTAGCTGTATGGTTAGAGTGTGGGGTTGGCACGCGGGAACCCCGGGTTCCATTCCCGGCTGGAGGGGGGGGGGAGATGTAGTGATTGTGGTGGTTTGGAGAGTCTTCAATCATTAACATAAATGCAGTAGATCAACTCCAGTAGATATTGTTTATAATATTTATTATAAACGCGTCAAGTGTATGAATATTTACAAGAATTATTTGAATGCGAAATATAATCACTTTCCTCGGAGGGTATTGTAGAGGATGATTTTTGGAATCGAAAGTTCCCCTTCGGTTTTTGGATCAGGCCATTTTTTTTTGGATTTTGATTTTTTAATGTTGTCTGACTTTTTATTTTTTAATTCTGTTACTACTTATTCCAGGGCCGAAAAAGATTTTTTCAAAATGTTCATATTAAAAAAAAATGGGTTTTTTATGTAGTACATCGTCACCTACCCACTCCACCCCTTCCGGCCCATTATCGCGGAGAATTAATTTCAAAAAAACTTAAATTAAGAAACCGAAGAATTTTTTTTTCTTTTATTTCCAGTAGGTCTCGATGACGTGTCTCATTGCCGACATCGAAAAATAAGAAAAACAAATAAAAAGATGGCTATTTTAATTTCTTTTTTTGAGTTTTGGAAAATATTTTGGACGCGTGACGATAAAGATGGAGAGGTTGTGAGTCGATGGGAAGATTGATGAATGACTTGTCAGATTACTGACATGAAAAAAAAACAAAAACAAAGGAATAGTATATTTCAGTACATGTGGGGCAATATCGTCTTTAACGTGTGTGGGGTTTACAGCATGAGCCGAAGGCGAGTGATGTAACCACACACGTTAAGGACGAAATTTCCCAACAAGTACTGAACAAAATTTTATGTCACGAACCCTGAAACCGGCTGAATTAGACTGGGATGACTGTACCCAAGCCGCAGCAACGTCCCAAGTACCGATAGGGTGGGGGTAGCGCGGTTAATTTAAACGTCTCTTGAGAGAGAGTGATAAAGCGTTGTGATTGGAGCTCCCTCGAGCCAGTGGTACCAGCTCCTGGTGAAAAAAAAACTACCGACGATGTTGCTGCTTTTTCGCATAGATTAATATTTTTTCATTTATTAAAAAAAAACAATCTGTAAACGATTCAATGCGTGGAACAGATACAAATAAATTTGATTAGCTCCAAAAATAATTTTTAACCAGAGATACTCCCTAATATTGCCTGAATTTTGAATCCGAATGGGAACAATTTTTTTGTTCGGCGATTGGTTTTCTGCAGGAAAACAAAAGAAACCCCTCCACCTCACCTCCTACATGTCCTCCTCGCCCGATAATCCTTAACTACTTTTTAGCTAATTATTTAACCGTACAAATCATCTTGGGGCACCCTGTATAAATTTATATTCTATACAACTTTTATATATAAATCTAGGCGGTGCTGGATTTTTTCTCTCTAAATTCTAATTCTCGTCGAATTGATTTAATGCCTACAGGTGGTTCGGCGGTGTTGGTGCAAATTACATCTACAAAATATATAGTTTTCAGAATATATATTTTTCCGTATGGCTAAACCTCCCTCTACAAGTATATTTCTGTGTTATCTNAATAAATTTGATTAGCTCCGAAAATAATTTTTAACCAGAGATACTCCCTAATATTGCCTGAATTTTGAATCCGAATGGGAACAATTTTTTTGTTCGGCGATTGGTTATCTGCAGGAAAACAAAAGAAACCCCTCCACCTCACCTTCTACATGTCCTCCTCGCTCGATTATCCTTAACTACTTTTTAGCTAATTATTTAACCGTACAAATCATCTTGGGGCATCCTGTATAAATTTATATTTTATACAACTTTTATATATAAATCTAGGCGGTGCTGGATTTTTTCTCTCTAAATTCTAATTCTCGTCGAATTGATTTAATGCTTAAAGGTGGTTCGGCGGTGTTGGTGCAAATTACATCTACAAAATATATAGTTTTCAGAATATATATTTTTCCGTATGGGTAAACCTCCCTCTACAAGTATATTTCTGTTATCGTTATAATAGATGCTCTGGAATTTCGATACTGTATGTCTTCCTTGTTGAAATATTTGAGTATATCAAGAATTTTTTAAAGTCTTCAGGGATTCGGGTAACATCGAGCGCGTCCAGGGCAAGGTGTGGTGACACACTGAACTTGGATGATGACACAAGTTGTAGTTGGGGTACATCTTACTGTGGAGCAGGGATCCAAGCCTGTTTCATCCGGAATCAATCCCCCTGGAAAGATGATTTTAGAATAACTTGGTGCAGGAATTTTGGTTACTATTTGGTAAATTAATTTTAATTTTACTGTTAGAAAATTACTCTTGAAATTTCAAGCGAAAAAGTTTGAAGTTTTTTAACAACAACAAAGTTACATGAAATTTTTGTATATTTCTTCATTGACGAATCAATTAATTGAATATTCAAGTAATTCTCCATTTTCATGTCTATACGGCACTAAAAAACCTTGAAAATTTTGAAAATTCAGGAGNTTAATTGAATATTCAAGTAATTCTCCATTTTCATGTCTATACGGTACTGAAAAACCTTGAAAATTTTGAAAATTCAGGAAACAACTTTTCTGAATTCTTAATCTATTGAAAATTTAATTATATGTGATGTTCGATTTTTACAATGAGTTTGAAAATTCAAGCTTTCATTAAAAAATCAGTGATTATTTAACATGAAAACCCCAATATTCTTCAGTTTTCAAGATGAATGAGCAATTTAGCGAACGCTTTCACTTGAAATTGAATTCAACCTCACAACATCGAAAATTCAGATGGCGCTGTGACTGGAATATCAAGAAATTTCGAACATTGTTTCACTTACAACGGGTACATTGTCCATTACGGCAATAGGGTGGAGTACCCTCGATACTGTTACACTGGATACTCTCAGTGCACTAGAATCATACATTTCAATTATTACATGTTATTTTATTCAACTCATACCTGTCCCACGGAGACAACACTCTACGGCATCAGTTTTAATTAGATATCACATGTTATTAATCGGGCACTTCCTCTATTAAAAAATAGGTGAAACATGTTTGGTCAGCAAACTATTTCGTTAAGCATATGCTAGACTTATGAATATTTCGCGGTTATGTTAGCTTATAAATAAATAAATGAATAAATAAATAAATATATATATATATATAATATATATATATATATATATATATATATATATATATATATATATATATTTGTATTAATATATATATATATTTGAAAAAATGTTAAAACAAATCAATGGTGATGGCTAAGCTATGCAGAAAAGATGGATGGGAAAATATAGTTAAAAAATTCAAATGAAATTTTCAAAAAAAATTTCAAAAAAATAAGAAATGGAATGGAATTATTATGAATAAATTTATATGCACATTGAAAAAAAAGAAGAATAACGTACTAAAAGACAAAGACGAAGATGAAACAAAAACGAAACGATTGTTATATCCACACTTGGAAAATGAGATCAATTTCACTCTTAGATGCACCTAATTTTTTAAACCTTACAACGTGAGTTTTCCATTGTGCAAATTTTTGAGGATCATTTTTCAAATTTTTTCTCAAATCTTATGATAATAAAAGCGGGCATTAACTCCTTTTGAATAAATAAATTTACTAAAAAGGAATACGTACTAAATTTATTTAAAAGGAATACCTACTGATCAAAAATAATAATATGTATAAATCACTAATCACTTTTGCGGGTGCGAAGCGCGCCCTCTTTCCTAGTATCTAAAAAAATGAAAAATGGAGAGAATTGATAAAACCCACCGAATTATCTTCCGCACTAGCGACAGCTATGAGCCCACTAATCGCCACCACAAACACCAGGAGCTTCATGATGTGGAAAAAAAACATTCGCTTCAAATTCCACACGTTGGAATTTTTATGCGAATGGGGAATATATGAATAGAAATACGCCTTTTATACAGCAATGGCATCACTTATGTTTGTCAAGGTTTATGCTTGAGTTCGATTTTTTCCTTATGCATATGTTCGGGTTCTGACTGGCGGAGATAAGATCATTTTTCCTCTTACCTCATTATTTTATTATCATTCGTATGTCCTCACAACGGCATTTCATCACTCACAATCGGATTCAAGCGACGAAACAGAAATATTGATGCACTTCGCTAAATGCTTTTATTTTGTTCATTTCGGAGTATTTGTGTATTTTGGAATTTATGTATGACTGCCGTACATATACAGAGGCGATAAGATTCAGTAGACTCCCGTTGGAGTCACACTCAAGGGGCTGTTGGGGAAGTGAATTCGGGGAATGCGACTGTATACACCTTCCACCACCACGCGCTTACTCCGGGCATCATTTCTCAGAATCGACATTGATAAAATAAAAATACTGAATGTTTTTTTTATTTTATTGATGAAAAAATCAAAATATAATAATAATTATCATAACAATTATGATATTATAATGACCAATAAAAATAAAAATTAATTAGTTATTATTAATAATTAATTATTGTCATGTGGATCCATTTTTCAATTCATTTAAATTTTCACTCAATCAACTAACGAATCAAATTTTAACCTATTTAACCACAATAAAAGTATAACCTCTCTCTGTGACGATCAGGAGCAGACTAAATGTCTACTTATCGTAAATTCATATTTTCAGTATTTTATTTTGCAAATTTCCGAGAATTAAAAAAGAATGACTTCTCCAGGAAAAACAGGAGCATTCATTTAAAGGCTTTTATAGATAATGGAGTGGGGGGAGTGCTCGCGGGCCGAAAAATCGATATGAGGGGAAATGCGACTACAGTGGACTTCCCTTAGCTCTTACTATCCGTAGCTCGGGGGGCGTGTCCTAGCGGCGGGGAATGTGTCCCCCACTGCACTAGTGACGTCATGCACGAGAGGGGAAGCGTCGTGTCGTCGGCCGGTATGTTACAGCGTTCTCTCTCAGATAATGACGTTGTCTCTCGCGTAAGCACGTCCCTGCGGATGTGGAGGTGGTAATTCCCTAGCTCGAGTTCTTGGAATCAGACCCCCGAACGCTATGAGCTAGGGGAAGTCCACTGTATAACGATGGGGAGTCTAACGGGAGTCTACTGTAATGTAGATCGTTAAAATTCCATCATATTGGAATGCGGGAAGTGAAACAGTTTTGTTCACGAGAAGTGAAGCAATAAATTGCGGCCAAAATAGGGCAAAATTTGTTATAAATACATGAAAGATGTGAGTGGAAAAAACAGCCTTTAGGAACCAAGACCTTTAGGAACTATACAGTGAGAAAAGTAAAACGAGTCATGACTCATTACGAAACACCTAGAAACCCGGTGCCTGTAATATCGGTACAGTGCACTCTTATCTCCTTTATCCGCAGGCCTCGGGACTCTGTCGTGACGTCATTTCATGTGAAAAGCAGATAAAGGAACATCCCCACTCGTCCAGTTTACAGCACCATTAGAAGAGGGAAAGGATCGAGAATAGTGGGGGGAATCGTGGCAGTGGTTTACATTTGTATGACGCATGACGTCAAAGAGAAGAATGCACGATAGATATGCAAACTCAATCGGTGCAAATACGTCGCACGAGAAAGCTGAGTGTCGAATCGGTTTAGAAAAGGGAGGTAAGAAGGAGACGAAGGAATTAGCGAATCATTGCTCCACGCAATTATTTCGGACGAAATTTCTCTCTTCTATGACGAATTAGGAAATTTAGGAGCGTTGGATAAATCCTCGTATTGGAATAATAATTGAAGAATCCCAATAGTATGCTTGAATAAAGATATTTTATTGCATCCATTCGCTTAGAATGAGTGCAAAATAGTTGAGAAAATGCTTAAGAAATGCTATTTCCAGATATTTCATCCTCATGAAGGTAGCCCAAGCGATGGTCTTCTCGCACATTGGACTTGCCGAATGACGCACCGTCGTATCCCTGGATCTCTTTTCCCTGGATGTGTCTCCAACTCTGGAGAAATATAATACCAATCATTACAAATTAATTACTTAGTAAGTTATCGATTAATCGATCAAGTCTCGAGTGGAAATTTTGCTCAGTTGGCTTGAGTCCAAATCAGTTTTAGATCCAAAACTGGTCAGAATTACTCGATTAGACTTTCGGATCAGAATCTGGTAAGATTCTGAATAGAATATTTGGATCCAGTGTGATGGAGTGAATTTCGATATGATTTTGACCAGTCAAATCGCAACTGAATCCGTATTGGATAGGGTATTCATCAGAAAGATCGGATCCTAGCATTTTGATCAGGCATGGATTCAAACAAGCATTAGATTTCTGATCCAAAACTGATCAAAAGCGGTTTTCACTGATCAGTCTCTTATCCCAGCCTGATTTGAGCTTCCACCCGGGCTATTCTCAGCGAAAGAAAAGTTTCACATACAGGCGCATCTTCCCCTGCGGCAAAACCCTGAGCAACACTGCCGATGTTGCCGGCACTGAAATCACACAAATTATTTTAAAAATTTAATTCACCAACGCACTTCATATTTGAAAATGTAACATCGACTTTCAAGTATAAATAGTTGGCATGTTCCATAGACTTATCTACGTTTCGAAACTCCATATAGTTCAATTGCGACAGTAGATTGGAAATTATTACAAAACATATCAATAAAATTGGGAACAATATGATCAACTTACACGAAGTCCCCGTCCTTCGCAATATTGTCCACTTACGGCCGCTAGAGCCATTGCAATGACTAGGAAAATGGAAAGGATCTTCATGATGCAGAGAAATTTTCTTCACTTCTGTCTCGGAAGATACGATCGACTTATTCAAATGCGAATGTGGATTAGGGAAGGTGAGTAACGTTATATAACAGCAAAGTCCTCATCTTTCTTCTTATGAAAATATTTGCATATTTTGAATTGAGATAAAAAAGTTTTCTGTCTACCTCATTGTTATAGTAATAAACGAAAATATAATAAGAAAATGAGGAAATGAAGATACGTTGACGTCACGATAATAAACTGTTCCGACTGTGTAAGTCCCGGCTGAACCTGATTCTGATTGTTCAACTGGATTTTTACAGTTTTTGTTACAGAAATTTTCGTTACAAAAATTTGTCTGCGGATCTCTATGGAAAAAGTTCCGGCAGGCTGAGTCGTAGAAAACAGAGAGATGTGACGTATGGGCTTAGTCTATACATCGGTTCTTTTATTCTAAAATAAATAATATTCTCCATTGTATTTCCATTCCCGAAACTGAAAAAACTTCGGTGTCTGTAGACATTGACTGCGTAAAGCAGTCTCGCGGTAGCATTTGAGTCCAGTTTCCGCCCCGAAACTGCTGGATTGTATTGGACACTGTCATTGATAGCAGCATGGTCGTTTTAGTTTCCAAAAACCGTGAGAATGCGCAATTTGTAACTGGAGCTCCTAACTGGAATTCCAACTCCAGCTGCAGCTTGAAAACAAAGGCAGATGCGGATCATGGGCAGAGGCGGATCAGGACAGTCGGTCCTCCCCCTCAAATATTTCGAACATTTATTAATCACGCGTGCTGGACCCAATTCCTTCAATTTGTCTTTCAGACGTTGAACCGAGGGGCTATTCACAGGCGTAAAGGTGGTGTCACTCGCTGATGTAATCAGTTGTAATCCCAGTGAAATCAATGTAATCATTGTAATCACATGATTACCATATTTGTAATCAAGTTTTGGTAATCATTTATAATCACTGTAATCAGTGTAATCTTTCGTAGTTGTTCCTAGTGAAACCGTGAATTTTGTTTTTAAATTTTCGAGCGCGTCATTTCCGCCAACGGTAAGCCTCAGAGATCCCTGGATCAATTTTTCTTGGAATCCCAGATGTTTATGGTTCAGTACCTTGCATAGCCAATGCGTTTTGCACAGAGCATTTGTCCGTAGAAAATTGATTCAACAGAGTTAAAATTTCTTCTTATTCTGGAGAACCAACGACTGAATTATCTCTGAATTATCTGCTGGTAAGTTTCATTCTCCATTAATGGTAGATATTCAGTAAATTTATTTTGCTGATAGCACTTATAAATGCCCAAATTTTTAGATGGAGTGATGGAGACTGCATTCCTCTGTCTAATCTCTGCCCCTCTTTCCTCATTTCTTTGCAAGTTCTAATAATTCACTATTCCATCAATTCATATTTAATTAGAAGTCATTTTTGGTGCTTTCAATGATTACTGATGTTTGGCAATCACAGAATGTAATCGACGAAATAATTTGTAATCATATAATCACATTCTGTGCTCTTGGTAATCACGGTTATCACATGGGCAATGGTAATCAGTGTAATCAGTCCCGTAATCCTGGGTAATCGATTACATTTTGTAATCGCGGTGTCACCCAATTCGCCTGTGAATAGCCCCTCGCATTGAACACTTTTTTTCGAAGTAAATCATCATTTTATTAGCTAAACGGGAGTGATCAGCTATCGACCTATTTCCATCAAAACCATTCCAATTGTGAGCGGACTCCTCTTAGGCTCTAGTCACAGAGACCATCAATTTTGTAAATTAAATATTCCGATAGTCATTTGGTCTGATGAAACCCCATCGCTGTTTTTCAACATACGTTTAAAAGACTTCCACTTTTGTGGAATCACGAAAGCTTTTTTTTCCAAGTATTTCGCCATTCTACTCAAACGCCATCTGCGGACTGTGTTGGCACTGTCAAGCAGGGTTGGGCTAAGGTATGATACAGGGAGGTGTTCNAATAAAAATTTGGAATATCTATACATGAGGAGCTAATTGATCGGATCTCCAAAACAGGGGACAAGTACCACTGGCCACCGTGCGCGGCGCTGGCCCGTCTCTTCTCCTCACGCGGACAACGTCCCCTTCCATTCGCATATTCTCTCGGCGTCGGGAGTTCAAATCTCGGTCGCGTCGGTTTTTTTCATTTTTTTTTCTTGTTTTTTCTTTCATTATGAAAAAATTCCAATGTGATGATGATTAGAGAGTAGTACGATTAAAAATCTTAGGAGGAAAATCGAATGGGCTTTGTCTCATGAGATTTCGAAGATGTTCATTTGGATATACCTGGACGGGTTATAGTAATTTTACTATATATAGTAAAAATTGCGAGTCGGTATAGTAGAAAGTGGTAGCATGAAAGTAAAAATTAATTTGACACGCCTAAAAACTCGGTCAAGATAAATCAAATTTTATAGTACATTAGAGTACAAGGGCACAAATTTCGTTTTCAACGAATGTGTAGTTTACAGGCCGAGCCGAAGGCGAGGTCTGTACACACATTCGTTGAAAACGAAATTTATTACCGAGTGCTCTATAATATTTTATGCCAAGTCGTGCAGAAGTCTAGTTTTGAGCAGGCTGCGCGAAGCGCAGCGTGCGATAAACTCGACTTATTGCACGGCGCGACATAAAAATTGTTTCGGTATGGTCTTCGATTACTATGTTCACATTGTCATTTTTAATTTTATATTCTCTCCGTGTATACTTATGCTATTGAGTTATATTCTATAGAATTTCCCTGCCTCAAATTTTCTATTTTTTTTTGGTTGATTTTATTGATGAAAAAAGGAAAAATTAACTGAAAAAACCTGAAAAATTGAAGCCGAAGAAGTTTTATAGACAATGTCTTAATATAGACTTTTTCTATTGAATATTTCCTATTAAACTTTTCAACAGAGTAGGACAAAAACCAATGGAAAGTTCAAAACATAAATTATTTATTACAAAAGTTTGACACTGATGATAATTTTCATATTGGACATAGAATTCTCATTAATTTTTTCCTATTTTTCAGAAATTTGGCATTTTAGATTTCATTTTTTATTTCATATTTCAATTTTTTAAATTCAAGTTATGTTTATACTACATAAAATGGGAGTAAAATAAAATAATTCAACGATAATCATCAAATGAAATCGCTTCAGCAGTAAGTTTTAACGGAGTAGCGGGAATGAGGAAATTCAGGCGTATTTCGATGGATTTTCGTATCGTAATAATTCAAGATGCAATATATCTCAATATTAATATTTAATTGTATTCATCCTTAAAGTGAAAATTAGTACAAATGAAAGAATCCTTGTGAAAAGCCATTTTTAGATATTTCGTTTGCATCGAGGGTACTCAGGAGATAGTCTTCTGAAGTAGTGAAAATGTGAGAAGACACAATATCCCGTCTGGTATCTCCTCCAAAGACAGGGATTGGTTCCTCTCGAGCTTGGATGTGTTTCCAACTCTAAAAAAAATTAGTTCCAGTGCAAATGAATTACTTGATGAATCGAATGAGTTGATAAATTATTCTTAGCAAAAGAAAATTGTTACATACAGGCACATCTGTTTCTACGGCAAATTTGTGAACAACACTGCCAATGGGACGAGCACTGGAATCACGCAAATGGCATTAAAACATCGCATTAACTTTCGAAGTTGTTCAGTTTTTTTGTAAGGATCAAGTGAATTCAACAGAATGGAAAGTATACTAGAGACTATATTACAATAATTGTTAATAATATAAAGGGCTTACTGGGGACCTCCGGCTTCGGCAGCTCCACTGCGCATTAGCAGCCGTTAGCACCATCGCAATGACTACAAAAATAGAGAGAAACTTCATGATGCAAATAAATTTTTCTTCTTCCCTTCTTAGAAGACGCGGTCAATTTATTCCAATACAAATCCACAAGGGGAGACGTTTTCTTTTATACCAACGCAGTGTCAATCTTTCACGAAGTTTATTTTACTGGAATAACACATCTTCTATAAAAA